ACGATACTCAAAACAAATATAAGTTTTTTTATAAAAACAGGATTTATGTAAATCTATGATTATGTTTTCTCATTTCTCACAAGCAAGCAAATATTCTGATAAAGTATTAAACAGACATACTTTGGTTCCGATAATGTTTTATTACATGAGTATTAATCAATTTCTACTAAAATGTCAGAAAGAGGTTTTCGCTGAAGATCAGGTACTGTAGCATCTTTTGCTGGGTAACCAACTGGCAGTAGTACAAGAAGCTTCTCATTAAGAGGACGTCCAAGTAAGGTACGGATGGCAGGTCCACAGTTTAAAGGAGTAGAAGTCAGAGTTACCAAACCTGCATACTAGTTTTAAAGTTCATATATTATTCATTCATATTATTCATAGGTATACAATATAAGAGGTCATAGTATTATATTACCTGTATAGCAGTGATGAGGATACCACAAGCAATACATGTGCTCATTTCATTGTAATAATGAATTTTCTTTTTTCCATTTGGTAAAATTCCATAAATTTGTTTGAACACAAGTATTAAATAAGGAGCAGTAGTCAGGTATTCTTTGATCCAATTTGTCCTTAATGGAAGTAAGTCGGTTGTCCATTTTACTCCCATTCTCTTTTTGTAATTTGTTTCTTCTTCACTTTCAACGATACGACGTATTTGTTCTTTTACCTTTTGGTTTGATACCACTACGAATGTCCATGGTTCTGTGTGCGCACCACTAGGCGTAGTGCCTAAAATCGACTCATTGTCAGATGTATAAAAGATTTTGTGAATGTAACTACATGATATTGTACCTGCAGCTTTTATTATCTCATGTATGACTTCTTTTGGTACAGGGTCAGGACTGAAAAATCGTATAGTTCTTCTAGCAGCTATTATTTTGTAAAACTTAGAAGCTCGACAAAGTATCTCTTCTTCAGAGGCTCTCTTATACATATAAGGGATATGTTTTAAATTTATTGGTAGTGCAGATTCTTCACTATTTTCTAGTGTTTCCTGATTAATGTCTAGAATTTTACAATTTTTTATTTTCTAAAGATTATATGTTTAACGAGTAATTATTAAAATGATCTATTATTACGTAAAAGGCAATGAATTTCATAAAAAGATTTGCAATAATTCTTTCATATTCTAATTCTGATAGTAACAATGTGTATAGTATTATTACCTTTTAGCTGCTCCACGGTATTATCAAAGATGTTAAAATTATGTCTGTTGTTTTCTATCAAAATAGTGCCCTTTTTAAACACTTGGTAAAATAGTTTAAAAAATATACAAAATATGATACTAATTAGCACATGGTACCAGTATTTCGTCCAAAATGGTAAAAGTTCAGTGAACATTTCCAACAGAAATTTATTTCAAGAACAAAGAAATCGAGTATACTGCTCAACTGTTTCAATTACAATTTGCTGAAGGCTAACAATGTGTAATGATATTGCGTTTAAGCGGGTGGTGGGATACGTTTGACCTAAAATAACTAAGTTATCGCTTTTAAACCAACTATGTATCCCATGACTCATGATAAAAAATAAATTTAGTTGTCAGTTTAATTTTTTTGTTGATCATTTACAATACAACGAAGTATTTAAGTACTTGTACTTTGAAAACGTACATATACGTATATTGTATTATATTTAGTAAGCTTTCAGTTTTTTCAAGTGACGAAGAATAATTATAATTCGCATAATTCTAACGACTAGTGATTATTTAAAAGGATCGTAAAAAATTGTCTTTTGCACCTTGTCGTCTAGAGAAGGAACATGATATTATCTACTGAAGCTAACATCTAACAATAAGTACGTCTTTAAGCAATACATAGAAACGATTTAATTATATAGCGTGAAAGAAACTCAGGCTACTTAAAAAGATAAATCAATTGAGACGCTGGCTTAGACAATGACTTTTATTAACATCTTATTATTGTTAAAGACTTGTTATTACAAATAAAGTCACTGTTTACTTTTAATAATTTTCATTCATTTCCATTAGCATCGTGATTATACAACTTCTAGCAAAAAGTTTCCGATATAAGTTCAAAGTGTCACATTCTTCACTTATTATGAAAATTATTGATATTAATTTAAATTTATGGAAGAATAACTTGTAATTACTTTTTCTTCTTTATTTTTTTTTTTTTATATCAGTCAAAACAATGAATCTTGTTTTAAGATTCCTTAATAGATAATATTAAAAAGTATAACTTATATTTGTTAACATAATTGAATTGAACATTTTTTTTACAATTGTACATTGTTAATTTCATTTTTGTAAAAATCTGGTATTTTTACTACATTGTGATAATCGAGGAACATTATTAAATTTGAAATCTTTTGAAAACAAAATAACTGACAAATATAGAACAGTTCAGTCAAATTTTTCACGAGTTCGCTTGTAAACAAATAAAATTTTGTACTTGTGAAGTTTTGGTACTTTAATAAAATTTATACCATCAGTCGGAAAAAGTTAAATATTATTAATCGAAAACTTTCTGCCCAGAGTTGTATATGGAGTATGTCAAGTGTTTCTATTCTCCTTTTTTCAATGTTAATCCTTGGACGACGTCTTCCACAAACAACGACGACCTTCAGGAGTGATGTATGCAGCATATTTTTTGAGGTAACTTCGTTATCACAGAGGAGGAAAAAAAGACGAAAAAAGTGTACTTATGATTCTATTAAAAAACTATTATTTTATTAAAATGAAAAATTAACGTCATATTAAAAATATTTGCCACTTTTTCGAAATTGCAAGTACAAAAGATTTGACGCAGGTCTGATCGAAATACTATCGAAAGACAAGAAAAAAAAGAAACGAAGTTTAAACAAATATCTTTTTTCCAGCTGTCAAGTAGTAGGAAAGTTGTGAAATCAAACGAAAGTTTGATTTATCTTCTACTTTCCGAGTGATTTTCGTCGCGGAAAATGTTTTCGTTTCGCATTACATACGGTCGGTAATCTGTGAACACTGCCGTACCGACGCACCAATCAGTTTGGTGTTGTACGTTGCGCGTTTTAAGTGCGCAGTACATCGAAACGTGCGTGTTTCGTTGTCCGTCAACACGGACGCGAGAAATTTGTGGCAATCATGTAAAAACCCAGTGTCAACGCGTAATTTCTCGGATCGGTTCATCTATACTTCGTAACAGCCAGGGCGAGTACCATAACGCAGTAACGGGGAATGAACGATTCCATCTTGACTATCGTAAGTACATGAGAGAGAGAGAGAGAGAGAGAGAAAGAGGAGAGAGAGATAGCTCTTGTCACACGTACGTTTTTGCGACGAATTAGAGTCAGAGGATCATCGACTCGTACGTTTTGTGAAATGTGCCCTCATTGAGAAAGAGATCAAGAACTGTTTCGTGAGTGACATCGAAGTTTTATCGAGCAATAGGGACATGGAGAACGCCATGCAGCCGCCACTTCCACCGCCACCCCCACCCCTGCCTCTGGAAATTCTTGAGAATACCAGCACGGAGCACACGGTCACCCACGTCTTGACATTTGGTACGTCACATTCTTCTTTCCTTTTATGTTTCAACATGACTCTGTCTTTCACTTCTGATAACGACCGATCGATTACAAATTCTTGATAACGGCGACGTGCTCGTCTGCATCGAGTAATTTCCACTGATTCCAGCTACTTCGCAAAACGTGATGTACGCGTTTTCTTGCTACGAAAACGACGGTCTTTTGCAAATTTTTCGAATTGCAGGATAGTTTTCAAGAGGACTGCTGTAAAATTTCTGATTGTGTCAAGTGTCAATTGGACATAAATATCAAATGAAATTTAACTGGTGAAGGTATAAAATCTGATGTCACTAGTTATGTTGTTTGATACAGATTGTTTTGTTTGATCTGAAGAACATCAATATTTATTTCTTGTCTATTGAGAAGTAGAGTCAATAATAAAAAGATAGAAAAGTATATTGAGAATGTTACTTCTCAACTTGCGATAATGATTTGTGATAAAAGTTTCAAAGAAGTTTCTTTCAGAAGCTATTATCTGCATTAAATACCAATCAATTTATAAGAAATCCATAAAGGAGATTGTATTGAATTCATAATTGAACTGCAACTTGCTTGTGGTGCAATGTATTGCCAGATATCAAAATATTGTTTAATTTGAAGAATACAAACTTTCTGTTATCCATACTGGCTTTTTTCATATTGTGAGAATAAAACAAAAGATCATTAACAATTCAAGTATATTCAGTTGAAGACAGTTTCTTTCAAAAAATTAAATGACACAAGATCAACTGTGAAAATGATATTAGATATAGTTTGTATATTATATAATTGAAAGTTTTCTTCATGGTTAGTTTCAAATTATTATGTATGTATGTTATTCTTATCTTTTCTATCTTATTTTTCTTCAAATAAAGTTATTGTATAATATACAGGATTAGTAGTAGTGTTTGAAAGTTCTGGCAGTACATTAGTTGTGAAATTTTTTATATTGATCTTCTTATTTTTTCTTTTTTTTTTTTTTTTTTTTAACAATGAAAGGAGAATTAAGATGCAAGGTTCTCAAAGAACAGAAATGACACGCATATGTGAATTTCTAAATTTAGTCTTGCCAACTGAAGGTGGCAGCCTTTTGAGCAAGCAACATTGAATGTTCTTTGTCGGTTGATGAAAAACAGAACAATGTAATCGTGGTAGTGAAATGTTTATTGGCCTTTGTTGACATATGTGATAAATTTTAAAATAAATCTGTTGACCTTTCTCAATTAGTTTTCTGCAGTGTATATTATATCTATTATATAACTAACAAGTTGAACAATTTTCATGAGTGTTAGACTGTTCTGTATTTTATTGATCAGTTAGAAGTATCTTCTAATCATTTTCTAGATAAAATAACTAGCTCGATCGTTTTGAATTTTTCGAAAAGTAATTTTTCGCTAGCGATTGAAAAAGAAACTCAACTTCTTTCGTCGTTATGAAATAACTTCTTAATTTTTTAATACGATTTTTTCCCCAAGAGAATTAAATGAATTTAAATGAAGCCAGAACGTAAATATGAAACATCGTATAGTAAAAACAATTCATGCACAGTAGATTTGAAAGAAGCAGCAACAATATTGCATCACAGTTATGAAATATTCATGGTAGTTCAAAGTCACCATTATTATGTATTTAATAGAAGGAAAACATTTCGTGTCAACAGTTTCAATCAAAAGTTAAAGTCGCATTTGCCTTACGAATGTTTCAATTCAATTAAGTCACCCGTAAAAAATATATCAAATGCCGGGATTATCTACATTTCATAACAAAATAAGAATGTGAAAAGACCGATCATGCGGATATATTTAATAATAATTTAACTCGTCAAAAAGAGAGCTACACTCGTGCGTAGATTTCGATATGTACGACACATGATATAGTTTTATCGATCGGATAGACGTTTTGTTTATCGACGATCGATATTTATCTTGGGACGCGATTCGAGTGCTAAATTAATATAAATTGCACAATTTATATTATTCTCATTTGTTAACTCATTCAATTATATTCTCATATATTAACGAGTCGTATGTTTATTTATTTATGTATTATATAATTACAAACAGTTATAAATATTATATAGTTGGATTTAAGCGGTATATACCTTAACGATGCAATGTGTACACACATGTATTATGTCGTGAATCATAAATATCGTGCTCCTTGAGAGCGCATGCCTCTACCGTGATGCTCACAACTCTTTTTAGAATTATTTTCCATGCTGTTTTCTTATCTTCGCTGTATGAAAACCAACATTAAAACTTAGTCGCTCAAATAAGCACATGGCGTACAAATTTCCTCTGCACGACACGAAATTTCGACAAGGTCGTGTTTTACGTGCAAACTTTGATGTGATTGCGACGCAAATGAGAGGCTGATCGATAAAAATATTGCTACAATAAACAGCTTGCCAGCCTCTTGAGTAACAAACTAAGAGAAACTCGTAATAAAGTCGATTCTTCCTTTCTAATCTTACTCTTTTTTTCCAACTTCGTAGCAAAGTAGAACGTGAGCGCAACTTTAAATTTCGACGCGAATAAAAATTAAAAATCCTTTAAATTCATCTTTTCCCGATCAGTCTCACAAAGTAAATAAATATCTGGTCAAATCTAATTTTTCTTTCCCCTTTTCATTTTGTTTTTCTTTCTCTGTACGCTCCAGAAGTAAGAAGTACATTTTCACGCGAATGACCGATCGATGTAAAAAAAAAAAAAAAAAAAAAAA